GTCAGGTCCTTTACTCAGCACTTCTCTACGATTGACTGGAGCTTCTCATAAAATTGATCTTTATCGCTTTCATTGCTATCATTGACGGGTGCATAACACTGCATAACATTCATTGTGATTCCATCCTTCTTTGTATTGAAGGGTACTTTTAAGATCTTCGATCCACGAGATTCCCATCCTATGAGTGCTACTCGTGCTTCCTCGAACAGCATGAGAGCGACTTTCTGTGTGTGTTAAGCACTCTTTTCTTCATGACCAGAGTACAACGTAATCTCTTTCGAATCTAATATTTGCTGTTCAGCCTGGGTCCCATAGGTTTCACCGCCAAGTTGAATCTACTAATTTCCGTTGCTATTTGACTGGTCCTTACAATCTCCTACATTGACTAGAGATTCGTTGTACCGATATTAATTGCTACTTTGGTTGTTTGAACGGGTGTCGGCCTCGTGATTTCCGAAGAATTTCGGCTTTCATCATGAGGCGTCATAATTCTTCTTTCGACCTCCAGAGAAGAGTTTAAGTTGTTGATTCTGGTTAGCATTTTTTTAGCAAGTTTGTTTTCTACGGGATTAGGTTTCCGACCCTATTATCAAATCCTACTCCGTTACCCAAGCTTCGGTTCAGTTGAAGCCATGGAAGAGCCACAGGCGGAGTTTTTAAAGCGTGACACGATCTGTTAATTTATGTACCTAAAGTAATGAGTGTTTGGGAAAGATGTACTAAGTGCCTGAAATACAGTAATAAAAGATTGTCAACTGTGTTCTCTTATCTGACTCAAGACTGAGGATAGATAGAAGCGCCTATACTCGCGAACTAATAAGAATCAAGATTATCTTATCAGTCACTGAAGTTATTAGTGCTAGCCTAGACGTCTTATTGGTCAAGCTACGTAACGATTCGAAAGACGGACCAGCATAGTCGAACACGAGAAAAAATTAAGATCTCTATTGACGTGTTTTTTCCCCGAGCTATCGACTAAGAGAGTAGTTATAACAAATAGATCACTAATGATTGATAAGAATGGTATGTACTGTTTTACAAATGAGTAAAAACTCATATTTAAGTGAATGAGTCCTCTCTGGTTTGATTACTACTAAAAATACCATTAAACTTAATTTCGATACGACATATTGGCTCAAGTACAAAATAAAAGACAATCAATTTGAATCGGTTCACCAATTTTTCTCGTTTATTGTCGGTTTATTAAAAATTTTCTCTTATTTTAAGAATTAGCGTAATTAACAAACTAGCATACACACATGCATAGAGAATTGGCCTGTATATTAAAAGTGTACAGTATGTTATGACAGTTGCTGTCATAAACCACTTAAATTGTGAGTTTCATATTATAAGCTTTAGTATTATTAGTTTCATTACCGAGATTGAATATGTGACTGTTACTTCTTTTTCTTTTTACAACCCAGCTACTCTGATTGTTCAGTAATCTTGATCACTACTCCACTCAAACTCCGTCTGTAGCTCTCCTAGAGTTACTGCCGGTCCCAAGCCCAGATAAAGGAGGAGGGTTGGGCATGGGGTTAGCGTCCCCATCCCGTAGAAAACTAACTCGCTAAAAAAACGCTAGCCAGAAAAAATAACTCAAACCATTTAAACTCTGCCCTGGGAGTTAGAAGGTCTTCATTTAAAATAACTATGACGCCTCATGGTGAAAGCCGAGTTCCTTCGGAAGCCATGAGGCCGATGCTCTTTCTAACAACCAGAGCAACAATTTTTATAGGTACATGGAACGTCCGGACAATGTGGGAGACCGGGAAGGCCATTCAAATAGCAACGGAAATGAGGAGATACAACTTAGCAGTACTGGGAATCAGCGAAACCCATTGGACCCAAGCTGGACAACAAAGGCTAAATACGGGAGAGATGCTGCTATACTCCGGTCACGAAGAGGAAAATGCTTCACACACTCAGGGAGTGGCTCTAATGCTGTCAAAAGTAGCACGAAATGCACTTGTAGGATGGGAATCTCACGGATCCAGAATCATCAAAGCATCATTCAAAACAAAGAAGGAGGGGATCACAATGAACATTATCCAATGTTATGCACCCACCAATGATAGCAACGATGAAGTTAAAGACCAATTCTATGAGAGGCTGCAATCAATCATAGAGAAGTGCTCAAGAAAAGACCTCACCATTCTGATGGGAGATCTAAACGCCAAAGTCGGAATAGACAACACCGGATATGAAGATATCATGGGACTGCATGGACTGGGAGAGAGGAACGAAAACGGAGAAAGATTTGTAAGTCTGTGTGCATTCAATAAATTGGTCATAGGCGGTACAACATTTCCACACAAACGTATACACAAAGCTACATGGATCTCACCGGACCACACCACACCACACCACAGAGAACCAGATAGATCATATTTGCATCAATAAAAAGTTCCGAAGGACAATGGAAGATGTGAGAACCAGGAGAGGAGCGGACATAGCTTCAGATCATCACCTGGTTGTGGCCAATTTAAAACTGAAGCTAAAGAAGAACTGAACAACTGGACAAACAGCTCTGCAAGGGTTCAATACAACCTTCCTCTGAGATACCGACAAACTCAATGAATTCAAGATAGCTCTCAACAACAGGTTCCAAGCCCTACAGGATCTACTGAAGGAAGAAGAAACTACTATGGAGGATAACTGGAAAGGTATCAAAGAAGCATTAACTTCAACGTGTCAAGAGGTTCTGGGCCCCAAGAAGCATTATCACAAGGAATGGATCTCTATAGAAACACTGGACAGGATCAAAGAAAGAAAGAACAAGAAGACAGCAATTAACAACAGTCGAACAAGAGCAGAGAAAGTTCAAGCACAAGCTGAGTACATAGAAGCAAACAAGCAAGTGAAGAAGAGCATTAGAGCCAACAAGCGAAAATACGTGGAAGAACTAACAACGACGGCGGAAAAAGCTACAAGAGAAGGAAATATGAAACAGCTTTATGATACAACGAAGAAACTAGCAGGGAAATATAGTAAACCAGAGAGACCAGTCAAAGACAAAGAAGGAAGACCAATCACTGAGATTCAACAACAGCGGAACAGATGGGCACAGTACTTCGAGGAACTCCTAAATAGGCCGGCACCAATGAATCCACCGGACATCGAAGCAGCACACGCAGATCTCCCTATAGGTGTCAATCTACCAACGACCGAAGAAATCAGGATGGCCATCAGACAAATCAAGGTCCTCAAACACAAAACGGAGAACAGCAGTCCAATCACTCTTGATGGCGAGACTCTGAAAGATGTGGAATCCTTCACATACCTGGGAAGCATCGTCGATAAACAAGGAGGTTCAGATGCAGACGTAAAGGCTAGGATTGGCAAATCAAGGACTGCATTCCTTCAATTAAAGAACATATGGAACTCAAAACAACTTTCAACCAACATCAAAGTCAGCATCTTCAATACAAACGTCAAGGCAGTTCTACTGTACGGAGCTGAAACTTGGAGAACTACAACAACCATCATTAAGAAGGTACAAGTATTTATCAATAGCTGTCTACGCAAGATACTCAACATCCATTGGCCGGATACCATCAGCAACAGCCTTTTGTGGGAGAGAACCAACCAGCTTCCAGCTGAAGAGGAAATTGGGAAAAGACGATGGAAATGGATAGGACATACATTGAGGAAATCATCAAACTACATTACGAGACAAGCGCTAACTTGGAATCCTAAAGGGAAGAGGAAAAGGGGAAGGCCAAAGAACACCTTACGTCGGGAAATAGAAGCGGATATGAAAGAGATGAATAAGAACTGGAAAGAGCTGGAAAGGATTGCCCAGGACAGGGTTGGATGGAGAATGCTGGTAAGCGGCCTATGCTCCTTCACGAGGAGTAACAGGCGAAAGTAAGTAAGTAATGATTATGTTCCAAATAACAAGGATGAATGGAAGTAGGAATTACTATAAGAAAAACGTCAGTATATTTATAATTTTTACATAAAAAGATTCTATAGTCTTCTCCAAGTATCTACTAGTACTGATTATTTAAATAATAGCCAATTAGCGTGCAGCGACATAATCCTTCATGGAACACGCTTTAATCTAATATAGGTCCTGCTAACATAAACGAGTAACCGAAACTATGACAAACCAGAGATAATAGTCAAATGTGTATTTTTCTAAAATGAAGTTAACAATTTTCTACTCTATAATATTAAAATACAGCTGACTTCAACTAATTGGTTGTCAGTTAACTTAAATTTTAGGACACTTTCCAAAATTACCACTAAATATAAGCGTCAATTGCGGGTTGATAATACGCATACGACAGAGAGAGAGAGAGAGAAAGAGTCAGTCAGTAACAACGTAGAACTTCGTACGTACGTATATCAGTTTGAGTTGCCATACCACATTATCACAAGAGAGAAAGAGGGAGAGATGTGATGAAATTTTGAACTACTGGAAGAACAAAAATATGACAACACTTTAGATATACTTAATAATCTAATACAAATGATGAAGAAATATTTTTTCCAAAGAATGATCTCAGTGTTATTTATGTAAACAACACTATTGTTTATATTTCTGTTTAGATAACCTTGAAATACAGATAAGCGAAGTGTTGATTAAAAAGGATGATTAACGTTCATTGATCAATAGAAGAAACAAATGAAAATAAAGCAAGATTTATCGTTTTTTAAGATTAAGCACGACATAAAAACGTAGTGATTTGTAAGAGTTTGGCACATTTTCGTTGATGTTAAGTACTATAAATGTCAAGTCTCTATTAATATGTGTGAATCCTGAGAAAATTGCTCCGTGAGTAACGCATTAGCGTTTGAGGAGAAAAGCGTTGAGTTTGAGTATGTGTGAATATCAATATTAGGGATCCAGGAGTATCTGGTTTACAAGTCCTAAATAAGATGAAATGTGCATCCTATAATTGATTGCTAACCATTAATCAATTATAGTAAAAACATAATAGTAAAAAAATAGTAAATTGATTCTTCCTAACAATTTCTAAAATATAACTTACAGGATTTGTCAGTCTATTCAAAATAAAGTTGATTGTTTTCAAAAACATTGCAGCATCTTCTTGTTCCGGAAAATGTAATCCATATACTCTAGAAGTGATTGGATCACGCCATTCATGAAATTGACCATGTATTTGATACTCGAGTCCAGCTTTTAACACTGAATTAACAACAACCTAAGAGATAAAAAAAATTAGAATAATGGAGATGAAAATGTCGATGGATAAGAAAAAGTTGATAAGACATGAAGTTAAGTGAAATGAAACTCGTTCCGTATTCTTATTGTGGATCATATGCAAAACGAAATGAGATACCATAATCGAGACTCAGCTTGAAACATTGAGCAAAGATAAATATTTGAAAGTTAAATTAAAGTATTATGCGAATCCTTTGCTAAAAGAATGTATGAGAACGTTATATATAGATTAAATTTTGCAAATTATTTACAGTTGATTTGAGATACACTACGACGACCATCTAATCTCATTACTGATTAGTGTTTATCTCACAGAGTCTCTTGTATCTACCATTCGCTATTTCTTACCAGAACTTCATGAACATATTGAAGTGAGTTAATAGTGAACTGACCATTACAGTTTAGTTGAAGAGTTTTCGTGGAAGTTGGTTTAATTTATATTCACCACAGATAAATCTCAGCTAAGGTACCACTAGAAAGCCAAAAAAAGTCGATACATGTTTCATCCTACGGTACAACTGCCTGATGCTGAGCACCATGAAACCACTAAGGATCGAACTCAGGCCCTTCAGGTCTTGTTGTGAGCATCCAACCATTCCAATTTGGGTTGGCTTCCAGTTGTACAGTCTTAACCTCAATTGATTCGCGTTATAAAGTGACACTCATCCAACGCCATATTGTTGACAAAGGTTTCACTTCCGATACATCCAGTGATATTTTAACTACGATCGGTCTAAGATGAGTATAGATGACAAATCAAATCAAACTCCATGAAAACTTTTAGCTAAATTATCTACAAATGAATTTTTAATGGTATTTATGATTTGTCTGAGAGTTTAGTTCCACTGTTTTCAAAGGAAAAAAAAGACAATTAAAACTAAAATGATTAAAGATAAATAAAGTTGAACTCTATTTCTGTCAAAAAAGGTGAACCACACTGGCAAGAGGAACGATGAATCTGTCGAATTTCTATTGTTAAAATTTAGAAACGATTAACAGTTAATATCTTATGCATAAACTTGTTAGTTGGCAAATGAACTGAAATATTAAATCATAAACTATTTGAGACTTTATTGAACAAGAACAAACAATCGTACATGCAAGATATAGTCGATTTATTAACAGCTGAGTAACTAGACTATTAGATTACATTATTACTACGTGATTTTTAACACGTTGTTTGACTTTTATAGTCAGTTTTCTGAAAAATAAGAATGATAACTACAAAATAACAAATTTATCAACCAACTATATTTCTTATTACAATACATAAAACAGAAGTTGGTGCGCGAATCAGAAAATGTTGTGATATCTACATCATTAAAGTTCGGAAATTCTGATTCTGAATAAACACCTTTGATTGCAAATTCTACCATAGTTACTTCAGCTGGAAAAATTTTGAGAACTAAGAAGCATTAAACAAATGCTTTGTTCAATTTTAAAGCTACTCGGTTGTATGGACTTAGTGGAGATCGTACTAGCCGCAAGTAATCAACAGTTATAGTCAACATAGAGCCTGGGATATGTCAGGTTAAGTTGCTACACTATCATCGGGGGTTGTTGAAGATATTCGATGATCATTACAATACTTTGGTTGCTTAGTATTTGGCAATTTCAAACACTCAGTTTACATTTGTAAGCGATCAGAGATAATGAGGTCTAGTAAAGTGAAACTTAATTTACACTATTATTATGATGATGTGATGAATACTGATAATACCATGATGCAAAGAAAAGAACTAAATAAAAATTCAGGGTCCATCACAATAACTCAGTGGCTGATAATTAAATATTCAGGCCATAATGCAAAACTCTAGGTCAGAGATAATTCGAATTTGTATACAAAAGAACAGTCAGTAGTGGTTGAATAGTCCAAACCATAAAACTGTTGGTTCGAAAATTCAAACTTATTATGCTTACTATAGTCTAGGTTGTATGATACAATTACTATTTGGTTGGAGCCCATGTGACTATCGTAACCAACGGTTAAAGACTCTGGGTGACATGGCTCAGAATCGACCACAATGACGTAGGTGTATACACTCTTTGCCTTCTTTTAAACTATAAGATTATAATCACTTCATATCTTTCTTTCTACGAACTAATTCTTTCTTCCTGTACTATATCCTTATACACAATCTTTCTTTTATATATTACCACCACTGAATTAACTACTTCTATGAATTCAGTGTTCATCTTCCTGTGCAACTTGGACCGATGCATATATGTACCTGATCCTATGTTGTAACTGATTGACTGACTGAACTGGCAAGTGTTTACTTTTACAGTTACAGAAATGGAATGAGTTAGTGACAAGAATTAATGATAATTATTTGTTGTAAATATTGAAATCTCTCTATAGAAATACATTAACATTATAAACCAATTCTGAAAATATCACTTTTTCCTAAATATAATTTACAATCGATTATAAACATCTTAAATGTGCAAACATATGCATATTCACAACAACAATAACAAAAAAACCCATTTTTTTCCAAAAAGAATAGAAATTAAGCCATTACTGGTAATATAGCAATAATAATTAATAATATAAATATATTATTAACTTGATTATATCACAAATGAAATTGTTTATATTACATAATTTGGTAAACTAAAGTTTAACTAGCATACACAGTAACATTAATTTTTCTCAATAAATAAACAAGTAAAATAAATTGGTCAATACTATATTTATTCACAAATTAATCTATAATAAAAGTTATAATAGAGAGTACAAAACCATGTTAACCGTGTTCACAGACATCCTGACAAAGTTCATTTTTATAATGTAATATGTGAATTCTGTTGTTGTAGGTAACTCGAACTATTATCGGTTTCATTTCATTTATTCCCCTAATTATCCTTAGCTAACCAAATATGTTTTCAGTTTGCGCAACGATACTCGATGATAAGACAAGCAATTAAAGTTGACAGAGTAAAAGAGGATGGTCTAAATAATTTAATAGATGACCTAAAAGACATTCTTCAAGAAGTTGGATGCAACAGAGGAATGGATCATGTCGTTGGTTGGTAAACAATTAATCCTATCATGCTTGACTGATTGTAAATATTAGGTAGGTGTTGTTCTTGGGGTCAAAATTCGTCAGATTTTCACCAACCAATTAGCCCACCAGCCTGAAAACTGTTACAAATCAAGACACAATGTATAGCTATTTTGTTTTAGTTTATAACAGGTCAGTGGCCCTCCAAAATAGTCAGTGGTAATGTCTCACCACCAATCCTTTATAATTCCAGGTACGCCATGTAAACGAGTACAAACTAGGACGAAACCTGGGTCCTGAGTTTCCCATCAACTATCTCTAATCAACCCAACACTTCAACATAGTAAATGCAATATCAAGTCATTCAGTGTAGTGGTTTGGGAATTACATGCAATATGTACCAAAAATGTCATACAGCATCGAATCCATGATTTCTAAGCGCCTTGTAGAATGATAGCCCTAAAGTGTTAAAGTGAAATTCAATGACCCACTCTTTGAATTGTAGCTAACTGAGAGTATATCACATCAACCGCAGCTGAATTTCAACTATGTGCAACTAACTGCTTCACAAACAAAATCCAGTTAACATTGATATGTAATGGGTTTTACTAACTAAACATACGAGAATAACATGAATTAAGGACGACAATTTACAAATGAATTTGTCATACTATAGTGAATGTTACTTTCTTTAGAAAAATCAATGAATTAAATTCTTTAAACTATCTGAATTTGACAAGTTAACAGTAACCATTAAAATTTTTTATAAATTTCTTTATATACGACACCTAGCCTAGATCAACATCAGGAGTTATACAACATAGTAAGAATTTCACCAGAACTCTATCTTACTACAATTAAACTTAGGCTAAACTCGTTGTTAAATTGGTTACTACTGATAACGTGGTATCAAAGTCAGATACGAGGTTGAGACTGCTTCAGTAAGAACCAAACGGTAGATGAAACTTAAAATTAGCATATAAACAAAAATGTATCATAATCAATCCGTAAGAAAAACAAACATAGATTATATTGTTCAACTGTTCGGTTAAGTATTAAAGGGTACATAAATTAAGAACATGATACAGACAAACCAAAAGTAATTTCTCTAACTTAATAACTATCCACAGTCCAACAAAATTTTAAGAGGTGTGAAAAGGGGCTAATACAATATCTATAAAACTTTTCAGTATTCAACTGTTGAAAATATTAGCAAAAGTCATTTATGTACCTAACTTTGAGTTGTGTGTGTGAGGATAACTATTGCAACTGCTCCAATAGAAGTGAAGTTTAAACCTGAGATTTAAGTGGTTGGAAATTAAATTATCTAATCATTAAGCGAACAAATATCCTGTTAACTGACGTAGAAATGTAAATATAAACATATTCCAACTAAAATAGCACAATCAGTTCTGCGAAATACAGAACCTGGTAAATGTGCGCGCACCATAGGTTCGAGTTGCCACACCATATAGCCAAAGCAATATGAAGTTATCAAAACAAATCCCAGATTAGTAAAAGTAGTAATAGTAATAGGAAAAATTAGGCAAAACAGTATAATTCACCAAAAAGGAAAGTTAAAAATAAAAATTATGAGTATTTGAAAACAAAGAGTGAATGCGTTGGCGCTATTGTGAACGATTTTGAGCGATGTCATTCAACGTCTCCCACAACTGATCGCGGTTACCACGAGACCTTAACTAAACAACCCGAATCTACCAATAGGACTCAGTCTAACAGTCAGTGTTTTCATGAGCTGGTGTCACATCCCGATTCGGTCATCTCCTAGCTTTTTTCCAACCTGGTCCTACACTAACAAACATCGCGCGTCAAAGTATATGGTAGGGTTAGGCACACGTAGTACATGTCGGAAAATAGTACAATCAATCAAATTCAGATAAACATCATTTAGTTTAGAAACAGTTGATTACATTTGTTTATTAATATTTATTATTAATCTGTCTTAGAAAAA